TGGGTCTAGCTTTTTAGACCACTAAGTTGTAATACAATTGAAAGCATGTATCACTAGTGGCTACCACTGACACCTAAGAAACGTTGTTGCTTGTGCGTTCTCCAAACTACTCGATTCCCTGATGATACAGTGTGTTACAGTACAGGAGTAACCGTATTTTTGGCCAGTCAAAGTACGGTCGCTGAATTTTCCTCGAAAAATGGTAGCGAACTATGCTAGTATAGCTTGTATAGCTTAAATGTAACCGAAAAGAAGCGATATCAGTAGACAAACATCTAGGTCAGATCTGTCACTTCTTCTATATTGGGGTCTTTTTCTAGATTTTAATGTGTTCATTACTTTTCATGACAGGTTTTAACTGTCCAGTCACAATATCTGTAGAAGTCATATGTGGATTTGTTGGTGCCCAATTACTTACCTTGATTGATTTTCCTTATTGGATTCTACAACTTTCTCAAAAATGTTATATACGCATTATTGTTACCTGTTTATTTGACTCCAAGTACTTCTTATTGACTGTCGCTTTACTGGTGTTTGTCAGTTGGTTTGCAGTGCAGGTTCGTGCTGATCTGTCCATGAACAAGAGTGGAACTGGTGTCTAAAACACGTATTTGCCTTCGAAGAGACGTGAGAGTGAGTTTGCTGGTGGGGCGAAACTCTTCGGTGTAGTCACGATAACAACTTCAAAGCCTCTGTTCATTGGTGGCAGGTTTTCCTATATTGTCCGAGTACGGCAGAGGTGGAGGATACTTTTCGCTTTCACAAAAAAATACATATTTGGAGGGTTACTATTTAGGGGATAGGAAGGGGGGAGGGGATGGGGGGGGGGTCATGTGCTCATTTTCCTGAAGAGGTTGACCAACATGATTGCAATCATTTGCAGAATGCACACGCAATAACATATTATATATATTGTATATATGTATATGCATAAACCTATGTATTTATGTATATATATACATCGATAGGGTAGAGGGCTCGGGTGTCTTAGATTCAAGCCCCATACTATTGCTATTGCATATCCTCACACAACAGAGCAATCATTCAGCTTTTACCATAATTCATTCAATAAGATATTGATTTTGATTGTATTAATTTTATCATTTTATTTCAATATCATAGTAAAATAACATTCAATAAGTAATTTTATGAATAAAATATCCATCAAGAAAGTATACAACAGCGATTACTTCTATACACAATATACTTAAGTTTAGTTTCTGTTAACCTTAGAACACAATATTTGTGCTGATCGTATCAACTCTAATCGCCATTATCGAGCTTTCGATTTGGTTTGGTTCGTTTGCGCTTTACGTCCTATTAGGGTTTTTCCAGATGACACGTATACGGATACGTATATGAAGGGGAGCGACCATTATTCAAAAATGTTGGTAAAATAGTATTGTGAGAACTGAGCTCAAATATTAACACGTTACGTCTGCGTGATCATTAACACAACTAACTACGGATGAGCATCGGTGTCAAAATGAAGCAATGGATTCCGTTCGAGCAAGTAAGCAATATTTCTATTGATCAAAACACGACTCGGCCCTTCTCAGGGCACGACAATCACACAGAACAATGATATCCGACTCATAGTCTCTCTCTTGTGACGAAACAAAGTGTCAATAACAGCAACAACCTTTATTTTGTAAATTATGTGCTCTACAAACTCTATACCTTCGAATTGTTCTAGTAAATAGACGAAGATGGTTTTAGTTTCTGATCGGCCGACGATGAATATGCGCGGAGGTGAATGGTGTTTTATAGGGTTGCGAGAGGGATATGCAGTCCCCTAGAATGTAGCAATCTGGTGGTAGGTCCAACGCCAACCCATTATAACCAATCTGTGTCATCAGCCTAAATGTTTGTAAATCGTTGTTGTGCCCACTAAACCTAGATTCCACATGTCGGAGAGTAAATTCATTATCTATTACCACCAGTGATATCTCCTATGATCACTTAAGTGAAGTTGCTGATTTTCTTCGGAAATACATACATTACTCACATTTTGCTAAAGATCACCTATATTTAAAAAAAAAATCAAATTGTTAGAAAGGATATTATATTTTCCTTCCGTACTGTTTTGGGAGAATATGTTAGCCTTCCAAATCGTGCTGTGGGGTGTGTTCAGTCAACCATAAAAGCGCGTGCACGCTTTTCCACGTGTACACCCCTTTCAAAAGCTAGGCTAGGCTAAGTAAGGCGTTGTTCAAATTGTTAAGGAAATCAAATTGATGAATATTCTTTGCGTGTTTTTGTTTAAATATGGCACAAAGACGAACAAGACAACGGTTAAATTATGACGGTGAAATGAATAGGGGCATTGGAATGCTGCAAGCTAGCATGTCTCAACGTCAGAATGCAGCAGACCTTTGGGTGCCTCAAAGTGTGGTGGCAAGAATGTGGAATCGTTTCCAAACTAACGGAAACCCTTCCAGACGTCATGCCGGAGGTCGTTCTAGGGCTACATTGCAGCGCCAAGACCGATTTTTGCTCATACAGGAACGGCATCACAGGTTCCAGACTGCCACAGCTTTACGAAATGACCTCCTAAATGCTTCTGTTACTCGGGTAGCCACTCCGACAGTTAGGAACCGTTTCATGATGCTGGTTTAATGTCACGTAGACCAGCAATACGAGTTCTTGCCACCACACTTTGAGACACCCAAAGGTCTGCTGCAACCTGACGTTGAGACATGCTAGCTTGCAGCATTCCGATGTAATAATCTAGACACGGCTCGGAAAACTATGGGGGTTAAAACGTAGGTAAGCGCTGGTAACAGGCCAAAACCTGTAACATCTAAAAATAAACCATGGTTTGACAAGAAATGTAATACTACTAGATCTGCATTTAACAAGAGTCGGTCAAGGTGCAGCTTAAGCAAATGTAACGAAACTAAGAAAAATCCGTCTCAAATTAAAATGAGTGGTCTGTTGTCATTTTGTAACAAGACAGTATTAAATGGAATTTGTCTTTTGTTGGAAAAAATTAACAAACTGCTGTAATACGTATCATGATTACTGTTTTGTGAACTTGCCATCCATTTTGTCATCACATGTGTATTATTATACTCTGATACCTCATGTTGTACATTTTAATGTATCTGAGGAAAACCAATAAACTTGTAAACTTGTAATGTACTAGTGTGGGTGCGCGCTGGTGAAAAATCTACGGAAGCCTATAAACGGCGTATGGCGCGTGAAAGTTGTATATGTAAAGAATGGTAAATTTGTCATTTATTTTGAAACCGGACACGCATCTTAGAATATAATATGTTGACAACATGTTAAGAACGTTTATTGTAAATATCAGCAATTAATTAAAAAATAAATTGTAAATTAGAAGTTGATGAAATCTTAGACTTTAATGCAGTGTATGGAATTGTAAAGATTTTTATTATATAATACAGGCTATTTCCGTGCAATATTGCCGTTCAATAAAAACGATATAGCATACGTACAATAAACATGAAAATGAGTCTTGTCACCGTGAGAACCGGGTCATATTCCTACGCACTACATTTTTTACGTTGGAAACAAATGGCTGACCTAGTTACCGGATAAACTGTATGCATTGATGGCAGAGGCACTGTGAAAGAAGTTGTTCCGATGGGGGTTGACACATTTTACAATGTATTAGTACATGGAATTGATAAAGAGGTTCATTTACCGCGTGATCGGTTAGAGTTGATACCCCAGACAGTGGTACAACACCCACCCCAGCCCCTACAGCAGACGACATCAAATGCTCACATCAAACACAGCGGTTTGTATCTGTCCAGCAAACGGACATAGATACATTTATTGCAGAAACACTCTGATAAAAACTGCAGCGGGCCTGAAGATATTGACTGCATTTTTAAAAAAAACTCCAGTAATGAACGAATCCCGTAACATACAGAGCACTTGTCGAATCACAGTGCAAGAACATATCTTGTATATTATGCAAATTTCTGACCATCGAAATATTTCATCCATAAACAACTATCCTCACATCAACACGAATCAACACAAGGAAATCTCTCTGTATCTTCAAACTCCCCTTCAACTTCTTTGCCACACACAAAATCATTGGCGACCACATGTAAACGGAAACATTAAAATGCACATTCACCAAGAACCCCCTCCCAAGAAAGGCGTCCGTGTTATCGAAAGTGATAGTAAAAATGCCAACTTCCATTTGTAATGTGTCGACCTTTACCTTGACGGTGCACGCGCCGTTGTGTCTAAATATGTGACGTCACTACTGTAGTCGTAAACACTAGGCCTATTGACCGGTTTCAGTATAAAGAAATCATTATTAATGTTGATTTGATGATTATTAAAACATTAATTAATGAAAAGGAACGTAAATGATTGTTTGCTCACACGGAGAAGGTTCTCTGGAACAGTTTTTTGTGGCGCCCAAACATGATGCATGTAATGCGTCCTTTCGTCAGTCTTCGCTTTATAGAGGAGACGAAATGACAACATTTACATGGATGTAGGGGTGTTTCTCGAATTATATAATAAATAGAATCTAACACTCGTCTTTATGAATATAAAATTAATAAACTCGTGTAATAAATTCAATATCACATGGACACGAGTGTTAGATCCTCTATGTATACATTTATTTCTCAAGCATCACATGATGGGCAGATAACCAGGACTCCTTCTGTAAGCCAGCAACGACGACAGCAAGGCAGCATTAGGGCCGACCAAACCTCACACAGAGTAACCAGGGTCAAGGTCAGCTGTTGGAAGATGTGATTACACAGGCCGACAGGAAAGATCTGTAAGCCGATGATAAGGAAAGTGGTTACAATGTAGTGATGGCATTGGTAACCTTGTCGTTGGAGGAGATCTGTGCTTTGGTACAAGGCATTTGTACTTACTTTTTTTTTGTAAATGGTCAGGTTCGTGGAACCCTATGTGGTAAGTTATACAGAGACGCTGTGTACGCTGGTAGTCAACTTCGTATACTTGAGATGTAAGAAAGGTAGTGAGAGTGATAGTGAGTGTGAATACTTGTCAGTTATTTATTTAATTTTGCTTATGTAAATAAATTCGTATATATAATTTCCCTTTGTTCTGGTTTTACCTGTTTACATTTCCTGAGTATACTAATAGAAGAGTTAGGAAAGGGCCGCTACTCTCTTAACATTGCATAAATTATGTTTATCATCGCTCTGCCTTTCTGGAATGTATCTGTTGTGAAATTCGCATTCAAATCGAATCTTTTTTACGGATTTTGTGATACGGAATGAACCAACCAATCAAATTACAGAATACACCGTATTAAATGTATAGGTGTAAAAACGAACCGTTTGTTTTAGCATATGAAGATTTTTTGATATGCGATAAAGTAATGCATGACTTTCTGTTGAAACTATGTCAACGACACAAACTGAATGTCTCCTTAGGAAAAGTTATTTATTAAAAAAGTTGAAGTTCATAAGTGATTGAACTGTCAGAGGTCAGTGTTTGCGGAACTTTTCCGAAAATGTTTCCTTTCGCTTAAGATCACCGGGAAATAAAAACATTTAATTGTAACTTCAACCAAATATATGACTATAATTCCCATGTTGTGCTATCCGACACATCAAGCTTCCTGGACTGTCCACACACAGAAGATGAAGTATAGCCCTAAAAAGGAAACGAAACGTTCGTGATAAATATAACTTGAATTAAGACGGAAAACAACAGCGCATTAAAAATCTTCAGAATTTCTGTTTAGGAAACAAAGTGTTTGTCAGTTTGAATCACACTCAGTCATGCATATAGATTTAAAATAATGATAAAAATATAATATTAAACCAGCTCAGTGTATCATTTTCAAACATGCTGTCGTAACTAGTTTTACTAGCCCCCACCCAAACTTACTGCGGGTTGTCCTGGCAAGTGTACTTCAGGCCGTGCTCCTTGACAGCCCTCTGCATGGCAGGCAGGGTGCCATTGTTACATGTCTCCCTGGAAAATTAACAAATTAACATACAATGTGGTCAGTTGGGGGTGTTCTTGTCGTTTTTCTCAAATGCGTGCCCGTTTTTTCAAATTGTGTCTTGGAGCCCGCAGCTGACCAAATAAATAATGGACCATTTGAAGGTAAACGTAAATAAACCGTATAACAAATATCTAGAGTCAAACTCGGACTCTATGCTAAAGCCCAATTCCTTGTTCCGGTGATAAATGTATAAAAAAAATCACATACTGTCAATGATCCGAAAGAATTTATTGCGGAAAAAAAAAATCAATGTTGATTATCACTTTATATAACCTTGTCACTTGATTTAAGCAAGTTACAAGAACGTTTGTTTGATAACGGTTTCACGAATACGGGCCAAGGAACTACCTGTATGGCTGGTTGACAGCGTGAACAACATAAATGTTCACCATCTGAACCTCCTCCGGGGACAATGACGGCAGCTCAAACCTTGCGAAGTAACTGTGAAGTTCAAAACAAAGCCGTGTGACGTTTGTACAAATTCTATATATAGGGACGTCAGACACGCACGTAGGGGAGTGCTTGTTACTATTAATTTATAATGAGTATGAAGTGTGAATATAATGAACTGTGCCACTGCTCAATACAAAAGAAGTTACAGTGGCCATCACGGTTACAGCAAACCCCCGGCAATCACCTTGGAAGATTACCGTTAGACACACAACATTCTTCATAAGACCAAATATAGCTTTGCTACAAGCATTTGTCCGATCCATATTAACAAGTACAAGACTACAAATTATAGACACAAAGAAGCCCACGGTCTACACCTAATAATAGAATAATTCCCTTACGTGTTCTGTAACCCTTGACTATGTCATGTCAGTATTGATTGATCTATACACGCCACATTGTCAATGAGACAAGCTGGCTTCTTTGTTTCTTTGATGTACGTTACAAGAATAGCTGAAGGCGTGCCTACGATCATGTCATGACATAATGTAGGGAAACTAAAACGTAAGAGAGTGTTAACCATGAATGATAATTGGATATGCATTACAATCAGCGACGATAATTATTATAACAAGGTAATAATGTTTTAGATAGAAAAGTTATCTTTTGTCATGAATTAACAATGGGAGGGGGGATGTGCAAAATTATTGTCAAAGGGTTTATTACATGTCAGAGTAAGGATATCCATATCACAAAGAAAGCACTGATCCACGACATTGTTTATGAAAGTTTGCACGTAGATCTAGCTCAAGATCTTTGAATACGTGTTTGTGATGACGGTACAAGCTGTGTCAACGCCTACCATGTTCCACTGGATGTTATCAGTCATAGAGAATAATCCTTATAAGTAGAAGATTTCATAACACCAATATTTGCTGACTTTGGTGATAATAATCACTAAGTAATCGCTAAACTTGTTGCATGCTTGGTATGTCTTTTTCCAGATTGACGGCTTGGTGGGATGATTTTACCTTTCTGACCCTTATAGATTGTTGAGTGTAAATAAGCTGTGTATGGTCCGTACTACATTCTGCGATTATTTCTGAATAACAATTCTTCCTGCATTGAATGAGAAGTGAACTAAATAACTGACATTTTTCTCTGTATGTCTGCTGGTAGATCGGCAATTTAGTCATTGTCATTGTCTCACCCATCCTCGAAATTCCATGGTTACCGCTCACTTGCGTTCTTGAATATGTCATGACAAAATTGAAGGCACGAGCTTAGCATTTTAATTGGTTTCAGGTTAAAAAACCCTGACCAGTCGTTAGATTGCTACCTGTCCTCCAAAGAATACAGAGGAGCGACGACTGACTTTAAAAGTAAGTTTTGCAGTTATGCTGTCGCGAATTTCTTTTGATGTATATCAAAGGATCAAACTAGTCTTCGGTTCTCAACCGCAAGGTGGCGCTATTGAGCCTTCAATTTTTCTGTGCTATATTCCAGGGTGCAGGAACGCAAGTAGAGTAACCCTTGGAATTTCGAAGATGTTTTTTCTCCGCTTTATTTGCATCAACATAGATACACATGATATGATAATGGCATTACTATTAGTGAAATTTATATTTTTTCTTTATACTGTGACTATATAATTACTAGAATGGACGTCCGTTCAAGTTCTAGTATTGGCTCACCTGTCCATGTTGCACGCTTGTCTGGCTGGATTATCATGACCTACCTGTCCGTTCTGTAAGCTGGTTTGGCTGGATTTGACCCGTCCAATAAAACAGTTACCGTTCCTCTGGCTCGCGACGCAAACTGTACACAAATGATCGTAGAAACCTCTGTTATAGACGAACTGGGTATTGTTTGCATGTTTCAAGACATGTTTTTTTGTATGCATTTATTATATGCATGGTATTCAAAATAAATTTCATATGTACTACATGTTGTATAAATAATAAAGCTATATTTAATATGTATCAAAAAGAAATCGTTTATTGTCCAGGACATTAAGTAGAAGTAGTACAGTGTGGTCAATGTGTTTTTAGACAACTTCTTCTAGTTAACCATGAAGCCTAAATTATGGTCTGCGGCTTTCCGAGAAAGCCGGCTACTATGCTTGAAAAAATACCGTTGCTTTTTCTAAGGTCGCAGAGGCCAAACATATTACAAAACATGTTATCAAATAGATGATAATGGACCCGCTGAACAGGCCCGATTGGCCTTTTTGAATACATTTATGCTAACCATATCTTGTTTTCATAGAAGGGTCCATTTACCTGGGACGATGCCTTTCCCCAAAATGCTGTGTTTGCGGCCACCGGACAACCGTTAAAGGAGGGACAACTGTGATAGTTTATCCCAGGTGGCGCTGTCTGTCCACACCACACCAAACCATTCATTATGTATCCTAGTAAAGTGTCCTCCAGTGTGATGAAGCGTTTCCCCGACTCTGCATAGTCATGCGCAACACGATATGTGCCTGACCAAAACATTGCCTGCAAGAAAGAATACAACTGTACAAAAGTAACATACATCCTTTTCATAATATAAATCAATCTTCGAAGGCTTTCCAGAAAAAATGAATGTCTTTACAGAGAACTTAGAATTGTAAATTAAACTTCACAGTAAAGAGAATTTCAATAATAGATGCACGAGGTTTAATGCTTTACAATAATCATGTATACATTAATACACAAACACGGGAACATATGGATATATTAATAGGATAATATCAAACTTGCATATTGACTTTATGAATTATTGTAGCAATACGTTAAATGATAAATTCCAATAATCGTTCTCAGTTGCAAAATAGAATAAAGTATGAAATTTGTATGTTATTATCTTATTTTTTGTATTTAGAAATGTCATGCCATTAGTCAAGCTTTATTGTCACGTACACATGGATGTTTGCATTCCAATACATACTTTTATCATATAATGTACTTTGTTATTCATGTCATAATTGTCACGAATGTTTCATTTAAGCTCGCTAGAGGCTCGCTAAATTGAAAAATTCTAAGACAAATCTTATGAAATGGAAACTCATGTGTTATCCTATATATATTCATTTTCTCATTAGATACATTATTTTCGATCCCTTTGATATGTCATTCCGTTTGCTGCATTCCGCAGGATTGTTTTTTATAGTGCATGTCCTAAGCTTGGAACAGCGGTTATCAGCTCATGTAGGAGGATCTTTCCTAATACCATGTTATGGTTTTATTTTCTATGATTAATTCCCTTGTGCACATTGAATACCCTTGTCGCCAGCTATCTACAAATATATTTTAAGTATTTGTCGATTTATTGTGTTATCAATATAAATAGCATTTGGTCTGTCACGTGATGTTCCGATTGTAATTTTGTGTTACTGTGATATTTTCGTGGCCCAAATTTTTGGGTTTCCCGACAAAACACCATTTCGTCCACGATTTCGTGGATTACGAGTGCAAACTCAAATGGAGAATTGCTTTATATCCAACTTGTTCTTACTTCGTGGACCTATGTATTAGTGGATGAAGATCACCCACGAAATGAACGAAATGGTGTTTTGTCGGTTTTGTTGGGCCCCATGAAAGTTTCTGATTTCACAGTATTTCATTTTCTACAAGCACGAACATCTAACACGACAGAAGAGACTTTTCATTTGATACCATTAATTCAGTACATGTATTTGTCTATGTCTATATGTACGCCATCCAGAAAGATGAACATAGAACACACGCTTTCGGTTTAACTTATGACATTTGGTAATAGATAAAATATGCCAAAAACGAATTATTTAGTACACTGCATCATACAGCTGTTTCGTCCTTATACGGCTCATCGGTGATGCTAGAAGTTAGAAAAGTGATAAGCTTATAACATAACAAATAACGATGTATACAGCATTACAAAACAGCTTAAGCAAGCAAAGCTCCTATCCTTACCTTATCTTCAGGAAGTGAAGACAGTGAAGTTTCGATAAAATCACTATAGTCTTTTGACGTCAATCCGCATGGCTCCTTTCCCTCAAAAGAGGTCGTAAACTTCACCCATAGCGAGTTACAATCCACAGTCCTGTGACAAGCAATATTTGTAAACATCACCCAAATGTAGTGACAGTCCAAAGCTTTGTGACAAAATTATGAAAAAAATATATAATTCAAAAGGATGTCCACCTCCTTCGTTACATAAATCTAACTAGATTGTGATCATAACACAACCATATATAGAAAGATACAAAGATTTTATTCTGGCAGATTAGGATCTAAATCACAACCCTTTGGCAATCAGCTCTTAAATTAGAATTGTTTTTAAAAGTTGTAACAAAGACATAACCAATATTGTAAACAAAAAGATGACACTTGGTTTAACTTTCCCTTTCTTGATAGTTACAGCGTGACGCTGTTTTGCAGTGATTGATGTCACGGATGATAAGCTTACTCTACAATCCAATACTAAGTAAGGAGTTTTTGTGGATATGTGTGCCTATTTTGGCCTATAGATAATGTTACTAAGATTGTGTATTTGTACAAGTTAACAAAGATAAAGAAATGTAACGGTTGTCGATATAAACTTAATTTATAAATATCAAACAATGGAATTCATTTCTATGTTAAAGTTCAATTTTTTACCTGTGTCATTGTTGTGTCAACAGCGGCTTTTGTATTCGACCAGAAACATGAATGATAAGTTATATATGACAGGCTCTGGTGTAAGTAGCGCCTACCTTTCCCCTATTAGTGTGCTTTCACAATCGCCCTCCCTATCTTTGTACTTTGAGGACGTCACATTAATTGGATTTGACCTAATAGTGTCTCCCTGTGCGATATGAAGGCCGATTTTGTACTTTGAGGACGTCACATTAATTGGATTTGACCTATAGTTTCTCCCTGTGCGATATGAAGGCCGATATTGTACTTTGAGGACGTCACATTAATTGGATTTGACCTTTAGTATCTCCCTGTGCGATATGAAGGCCGATATTGTACTGAGTGTCACCTATTGAGGTTGTTTCACTACTTGAGTTTGACCAAGTTTTACATGACAGACGACGTTGTAGCAGAAGGCGCTTACACATGGTCTTATCATTCTTAGGTTTCCTTCGTTCATTTTAAACTCTGGATTTATAGATATGAGTTCGAATTATTCGGTATGTTTTATCATCTAACATCGATTATTGTAGTTAAACAGCTCTCGTGAGTTAATTATTCTCATAAAGTGTTGTTTGAGGAAAGAAACTGTAAATAATATATTTTCCGCTTAGTATATATGCATTTTCCCCTCTTTTTTGCGAAATTTTGCCGTTCAAAATTTATTTTGAATTTAAGTACAACGACGACAGTTATATATAACAAAACCAAGAATTTAATTTAATTCCTCAAAAAATATTTATCAAGACATTTCGCGAACTTTATGACCTGACAGTGTATGACAAATGTGCAGTTACCCTGAGCTGATAGGTATGGTTGCTATAGGTTTTAATTTTGTGTACAAAACTGCCTATAACTTGCTCCCGTTCGGACAACACATTTTCCTTTTAAATAATCCGTCACACTGGAGGTGGTTTAAAGTTCAAGTTCTCCATTATCTCAAGTCTTTCAACTCAAGTTACATAAGTGGACTATTTGTAGCAAATCGTACACAACAACTTAACACATTACATACAATATGACATGTTTAGAGAGTACAATGATGTACAATAATTGGGTCCTTCACCAAGCAGTTTTGAATAAATCAACATCATGCCATTATTAGCAACATACGATGCATAATTTAGTTACTCTACATTTTATCAGAGACATATACATTTTATACGGTTCTGATTTTTGTGAACTTACGTTTGGGGATATGGTTTAATAATCTCCTGGTATGCCAGACACCGCCCTAGGAAGATGTTCTGTATCCCGGGTGTTGTTCCTGACGGTGTCACACAGGTTGCCAATGGCAACAGGCATAGAAGACAGGCGACTATCAATGTGTAACACTCCATACTTTTTCACTGAATAATAACTCATCTGTTGACTAAGTTATCAGTTTATCGTTACAGCTTGAGATATGAGGCAATCTTGACCAAAGATCACCCCTTTATCTCGCGAGACGTAAGATATACTTATATCAGGAAAACGTAACCACGTGCTGTTTATATATAAATTACGCCGGTTAAATTTTAATATATATTATAAGAACTAAATTTATGTTGTGTACTATGGTATTCAATAAAATGAACATTGAAATTGTGATATATGTATGTGTACTATCCAAAAATAAGAAGATAAAGAACCTGCGTTGGTCAGCATTTTAGCCTTAATATCATTTTACTAGTTCTATAATTATATATATATATATTTACTTTACCAGACTGAAAATGCTGAAAAGCAAAGAGCATTAACACTTTCAAAAATCGACTAATCAAAACACGCCTCATATCAAATAAAAAAAAAAATGAGGACGGAGACATCCGGAGAAAAGCTGACGGACAGGCAATACCATAGCGTAATGAACACTTCATGTCAAAAACAGAGTTCGGCAAATGGACTATACCCGATGCAATCGGGAACATTCAGTAATTTCCGTAAACAAGTTATGTTAACCGGATTGAAAAAAAGTCATAGCATGTATATAGTGGTTTCGTGGATGATTAGTTTGAAGACTTGAAAATAAGTCTCTTTGCACAAGTCAGGATTTCGATAGTGAATCAAGTCAGATATTAGACATGATTTTGTTATATCTAGTGTTTAATGTGCTGCCCAAAATTGCAGAGTTTACTGCCTGGGGCTTGTACATGTTGACGACCACTACCAATCGAAATGGCACTGCAGAACCAATCAATGCTTCAATAGCTCTTGTGCAGGAAGAATATCTTCATCTTCTGTGTTCATATAATGTGTTGTTCGTGGAGAATAATCCCTAGAAAAATGGGTGCTTTCAAAATTCGCATTTGTCTCGCCGCCACGAGGTAACGGTAGCGAGACTAAAGTATTGCTTTCCGACGACGGCGTCGACATGACGTGTTAGTTTCACTGAAAGTGTAAGTGCTAGACCAACCAAACGTGATAGATGCATCTTAGGTAGTTCATCTCAACCCATGCATAAAATGCTGGATGCTGTCCTACATTTCATGGTCCATTGACTTTGTCACCATCTCCATCAACTAAGTTTTTGCGTTTGAGTTAGTTTCTCCGATATGTGCATTGCATGATGGTCAAAGCGGGGCATAGGCGAGACATATCAATCCGAATGGCTTGTAATGTTTTCTTTGTTGCTGTAAAAACTCCAAACAAAGTAAATATCTAATGCACCATATAGCCATTTCCTTCAATTAGGACTCATTAGAGGTACAAAAGTCAAAAGAGAGAAAATTCATTTTAAAAGTGTTCCGAAAGATATGCAGAAATACAGCAATAGGGAAATGTTTGTTAAAATCCCTAGACTACGTTAGACATTTTCAAGTTTTATAGGAACAGCAAATATTTTTTCTTAAACTAGTATGTAATATAAACTCTTCCAGAATAAATGCCATCTATAAAGTTATTGTCGACCCCGATGACCGCAAGCTTTTCCTGCTGATCGTCCTTGTAAAAATCATCAACATCTACAGTGTTTTTCACTGCCAATTCTACTCATGATGAAATGTGATCGGACTGTTTCATTTTGCTTTCGGTATCAAAATTTTATTTCTTCCTTTGAAACATCAAGACTCTTTCTCATAATAATCACAAGTTCGTTCAACGAATGTATTGAGAGCTAAGGATATAGCGAGAGTGGAGCCAAGTGGATAAGGCGTCTGACATTCCGCTACCACAAGCCCTCCACCACTGGGTCGCGGGTTCAAGACCTACGTGGGGCAGTCGCCAGGTATTGGCCGTTGGTCGGTGGTTTTTGTCCGGGAACTCCGGCTTTCCACCACCACCATCTAAACCTGGCACGTCCTTAAATGACCATAGCTGTTAATAGGACGTAAAACACAAACAAACAAACAAGTTATTTAATGGTTTTCAAGTGGAGGGTGCCGGAAAGGGCCGAGAGAGAATTATATGTTTGTTAACTAGAACTATCTAGTTTCTTGTCGTGTATTACCATGATATAACAATGAAATATGGAATGGCAATGAAGAAAAGTCTAGGTGACCCGGAAAGTATGCGTGGATTATAATTTAAATATAAGTTAATAAGGAATAATATCCAAATCACAGAAGCGAATTTGACCAAGAAAGGGATTAAGTAATTTATCGTTGCGACTACTATGCTAAATCAATAATCCTTTATCGAAATGTACCAATGGTGTGTTTTGAAACACACTTGTAACGTTTGGGGCCGTGACCAGGATTTCCGATGAATAAATATTGTCACCATCGCTGATATATCACTTAGTAAAAGAATAAATGGATGCATGAATTAAATGTCGAATGAATTAAACAGATCTATGATCAACTGTCCTGTGTTTTGGGGAACTACCAGGATGTACATGTACCCAGAATTGTCCCAATGTAGCAAGAATCATGTAGATAGTTACTGGATTCTTAACGGTCCATCAACACAAAATAGGTCATTAACGTATACAAAAATGACATCTTTCGAAGACAAGGGTAAACTTGAAGAGTAAAAGAGGCTATGGTTGGTTTTATCTTTTTGAAAAGATTTTGGGTAGGTTAGAATTGTAGAGATAAGTGTTACGAACTGTAGTCAATGCAGATCAACTATGTGAGTTCCGTATCCTTGGTGCTGTTTGTACCGACGGGTGTGGTGGGGCTACAGGACAGTATGAGATACCGTCATCATCATCCGCAGAGCTATTGGGAAGGCTTGACCCCTGGAGACATTACAGAACTGGAAATACCAATGGACTGCGAATGCTGTTGCATTGTCCACGGCTGTGAACTATTTTCACGTGTGATTACCCATAGATGTTTGAATTCTGACTGTAAATTGAGAGAAAAATCATATAAAAAATAAGGGTATTACTATTTTTTATGGATTACCAGAGACTGTTTAAAGAAGAAAAAGGATATGTGGATATGAGATAATAACTTCTCCATGCCAAGTCGTCTTCTGCTGGCAACAACATGCGTTTATTTTGTATCCTGTGTGGTCGAGTCTTGAATATTACCTGTTATATACCGAAGGTGAAGCGTGCTGTTTTGCTGTATTAAGAAATAATCACTATATACTAGCAATTTCTTTGAATCTTTTTGCATTGCTGTGTTGTGGAGAAAAAAATCGTTCAACAATGCAATGACCACGTTAGAGGTAACTTTGGATTTCCAACTTTCTGCCCCTTGCATCACTGAAGGATGAAACAGCAGTATGATACAAGGCAATTCATTTTTAACATACTGTATCTACCTCTGTACAATCACCTCTGTGTGTGTGTTACGTTCACATTTCTGTAAGACGGAACCTAAAGTAAGGAAAGATGAACGTAACATACACACAGGTGGCTGTACCTTTAACATTTGGTAATAGATACAGTATGTCAAAATTTAATTACTTACAGCTGTTTCGTCCTTCTAGGACTCATCGGTGATGCCGGGTAGGGGCCAAAAAGTTGGAATCCAAATTGTCCAAATCACTGTACCGTTATATTCAGTGACGGATACTATTTGCCTCGTGGAATGTCATTCTTCGTCTTTAGGAAGTTGTCTAGGTCGGAGAACAGTGGACTGTGACGCAGGCTCTTCTCCCCATGAGTTGTAGCCATTGTATGAACTAACTAGAACATATAACAAGCCATTCAGATTTATATGTCTCGCCTGTGCCCCGCTTTGACCATAAATGCACATGTCAAGTTTGGTTGGTCCAAGTACTTAGAACTTAAAAGTTTCAGAGAAACTTACTTAAATGCTGACAAAGTCAGTGGACCATGAAAGGTAGACCGCATCCAGCATTTGATGTATGTGTTGAAATGTACTACCCTAGATGCATCTATGGTCCAAGATTGGTTGGTCTAGCACTTATACTTATAGTGAAACTAACTAACGCAAAAAAACGTAATGTTGACGCCGCCGCTGGAAAAGCAACACCTAAGTCTCGCTTCTGCTACTTAGTGGCGGCGAGACAAAAACGAGATTCAATATCAGCTCGTTAGGCCTTCCCTTTCAAGATGATTACATCATAGATACTGAAACTGTCCCTCATGTCGATGCAATATTGCAAGTCCTCAATACGGTGACATTTCATTTCATTGATTGGTCTTTCTGGTGAAAAGACATGATTGTTTGTTCATCTTCTCGCCCCAAAAATCACATGCGAAAAAACGGAAAACATGCAAGCCAATTACTGACTTTTCATTTTTCTGGGCAGAAATCTCCTATTTGAAAAGAGCGAAAAGACGAACAACCACATGGCACAAATCATTCTCATCTTGCCAGCAAAACCCGAGGCTTTTCTACAGAAATGTTATATCTCCATCCTTGAAAGTGGTTTCCATTTAATATCTCTATATCGAGAGCATTTTAAGAAATACATATATCAGCCATGTTCAACAGGTTATATATGATTTCGTAAAAATACTGCTTTACTAGAACTCATGTACAATAAAAACTCATCGTTTGGCATTATAAAGGGTTTGGATATAAACTGAGGGAAATGTGCAGCGGTAAGCAAAGTGGTAAATGGAATGAAGGGCATTATATCGGGGGTTTTACCGTTCATTCATGAACAAGAAAAACAAGAGGCACAGAGGGCCTTTATCGCTCACCTGTTTCTTTTGTTACATGAAACTGACATATAGGTACCTTCAGACCAAATTTGGTAAAGTTCTAGAACACAAGACATTTTAACATCTCTTAAATGATTCTTAAGATATTGTTGTTTGAAATTTGAATATGAAAGCTTTTAACCCATGTTGACCTTCGACCCCTGACTAGCACTTAAAGTTTTACATTTGACCTCATTACTGTAATTAAGAGTAAGATTTGCAATGCTGGTGTTCATAACATATCCAAATATCATGGCTCTAGTCCTTAAAATAGTGTTGTTTTAATTTTCAACATATTTGACCCCTGTGGCCTTGAAAGTAGGTCAAGGTCATTTTAAAGAGGAACTTTTATAGCACTCCATCCCAGGTACCTACTGGCCAAATATCATGATCCTGGGCCTTATGGAACTTTAGAAGATTGTTAAAGCTTTTAACCCATGTTGACCTTTGACCCACGAATAACACTTCAAGTTGACCATTGGCCTCATTACTTTAAATAAGAATAAGATTTGCACTGCTGGTGTTCAAAACATATCCAAGAATCATTGCTCTAGTCCTTATGGTCCTTAAAATATTGTTGTTTTAATTTTAAACATATTTGACCCATGTGGCCTTGAAAGTAGGTCAAGGTCATTTTAATGAATAAACTTTATAGTACTTCATCCCATCCACCTACTGGTCAAATGTCGTGACCCTATGTCTCCCAGTTCTTCAGAAGAAGGTCGTTCAAAAGAAAAAGTTGGCGGACGGACGACGAACGGCGCAGTACGGCGTAAGCTCACATGGCCCATTGTGCCAGGTGGGCTAAAAACAATTGTCAAAATCGGTAGAGTTGTGAATGTCAAGATGAAATTGACACATATTTTATTGTTGTGATAACGAACACGCTATGGTCAACATACACAGTATACTATCAAACAAAATGGCCATATTGTGACACCAAGACAGGAAAGGCGTCTTACATTTGTATGATATATCATGCAACATTTTGGTATTTAATACCGACTTGTGATATCACCTATTGAATTTGTGATTGTTGGCAGTATGTCTTGTAAGTAGGATTCATTTTGCAATATATTGCATGTCCATTCCACATAAACGAAAATTCATATCCAGATACACCAGTGTGTCTCCGAGGTATTACTGTAAGATTATTTAAAGACACAAATTTTAACAGATTAGCACATTGATGTATTGGCACACTTAATTTATACAATAGAAAACAGTATATAGAAATTTCAAATAGAGCAATCATAAATTAGCACAATGTTAAAAGCACAAATAGGACTGGAGTAAGAATACAGCCGAAATATGTAAAGACACAGTATTACAGTGCACGTGTAGCCCTATAAAGCCTATACAGGCTTGTCAAGTAACAATTTTGTTATGCATGTTTGTTTACTATAAAAAAAAAAATCAACATATTTTATCCCTGTAACCTTGAATAAAGACGAAGGTCATTCATTATAACAACTTGGTAGCCCTTCATTCCAGCATGCTACTTGCCATATTCAGAAGAAGTTGTTTAATGTAAAAAGTTGACGCTGGACGGACAGCAAGCGGCAGGCCAGGTGAACTACCTAGAAAAAGTCTGTAGCACATAAATACTCCCTTATCAGTGTTGTTGACTTATAAATAGTGGCAGTGACTTGGAACCCTGAGACACAAACTTATCCTTGGTGTTCTCATACTTGGCCTTTACCTAAACTTTGATTTAATCTGTTAGGAAAAGAAGTCAGTGGGAAACAGACATCAGTAGCAATGTATTACCCCCACCCCCCTCCCCCTACTTCATATTCTGAAAAGCATGCAGATATAATGTATATATTTCAAAAAGGATTGTTTTGTTTGTTCGTTTGTCTATGTTTTACATCCTATTAACAGCTATGGTCATTTAAGGACGTGCCAGGTTTTGATGATGGAGGAAAGCCGGAGTTCGCGGAGAATCACCACCGACCGACGGCCAGTACCTGGTGACTGCACCACGCAGGCCTCTAACCCGCGACCCAGTGGTGGAGGGCTAGTGGTAGCAGAATGTCAAGATGGCTTTACCACTTGGTCACCGCGGTCCTATTCAAATAGATGTTGCATGTATCACAAACATGAATGTGTTACCAAATTTTGCTTCATAATTGTCGCCATTGACACAGTTTAACTCAAACCATCATACAGGAATCCATTCACCTGTATGTTATTTCAAACTTTGAAATCTGACATGTAGATATCAGGTATTCAAATAGGTGTAACATGTGCATCGCAAACCAACATGTTGCTTCATAAACGTCGCCTTTGACATGGTTTAATTCATAAATGTCGTCCTGGACATGGTTTAATTCAAGCCAACATACAAACCATTAACCAGTATGTAATTCAAAAATCTAAAATGCATATATTATGTATTCAAATAGGTGTTACATATATCACAAGCAAACATTAAAACCAAACATTGCTTCATAAATGTTACCCCTTGACATGGTTTATTTCAAACCATCATACAGGAATAGCATTCACCAGTATGTTATTTCGAACTTAAAAATCTGAAATGCAGATATCAGGTTCTAAAATATGTGTTACATGCTGCATCACAAACATGTATTAATACCAATGTTGCTTCATAAACGCCACCCTCGACACAGTTTATCTCGCACAACATACATGAATTCCACTAACAAATAGGGCAGTGTATTGAGACTAGAGAGGCAGGTTATTCAAAACTTGACTTGCATAACGATTCATTAATGTAAATATTTAAAATGCAACTTTATTTTAGACATGTCTGATAATCTACGAACATTTTTGTATTTTCAATGTTCTTATGATCATAATGAATGCCTGTAGTTTTAACATTGAATTTTAATACTTAGTTTTTTTTATGAAAAATTTGTGTAAACTGTGGAGATAATAAGTTGACCTGTGTTAACACTGCTTTATTTTGAGAAATGCAACTTCTGAATTTAAGAGATACTGTATATAAATTTTCCAGAACTTGGAGAGACATACCATTTGCATAGAATTTATAAGATTGTCATCCGTTGAAATGCTTCGACTTTCAGATATAAGTGAGTTCAACATTACACTACTGTACTAAATAGCACTACAAACCATTTTACTCTGAAATACAAACTAATCTATCTACTTGACACACACTGGCCTTACACTATCCTCATAAAATTCTCATCCTTGCAGCCAGTTCTTTCAAATTTTTGGTCAAAGATTAATGTATGGTCAAGGTGGAATTTAGCCCTATGTGTTTACATTTTTAACATGTCAATAAAATACAGCACTTAAAAGGTTAGCTTAGCACAAAATGTATCAATTTGGTGACATCACAATGGCATATTATCAATGCATCATTGTCCTCTTTTCCAATAAAAAATGTATGCAATCATCAAGTCAATGATGATATCACCAAAATGACACTGTAAAAGCAATGACATCAAAACAGTACTGTAAAAGCAATGACATCAAAACAGTACTGTAAAAGTAATGACATCATCAAAACAGTACTGAAAAAGTAATGACATCATCAAAACAGTACTGAAAAAGTAATGACATCATCAAAATAGAACAGCAAAATCAAAGACAAGAGCAATGGCATCAATATAGCATTATTCCCTGTTGTACAGCAAAATCAAAGACATATATCATCAAAGCACTTTTTGTTTTTTACTTTTTAAAAATATAGCACATCCCTTCTCAACCTGGAATTTTTTAAAGAGTCAAAAACAACTTAAAATACAGTGAAGTAATACATTTGGATTCAATAGATAAATAACCTTATGAGAATGGTAAATTTGAGACAGGGTCACTTAATGTATCAAACCTAAATTTGAAAGGGCCACAAGCATAGATTTATTGATAACAATGTTTCACTATCATTAGATATGCAATGTTTATCAATACTACTTAAGGGAGATAACTCCAACACAATTAGAGCTATAACGTGTAATGTGAGTGTATATGTACATAAATGAACAAGCACAAATAACATAGCTAAGTGACCTGTGTAACAGTGAATTTGTTTTCCATACAATCCTACACAATCATGTAAACAATGTATTTCTATTAAAAAAAATTGTTGGTTACCACACATGATTTGGTATCGATTACTTGCCAAACTTTACCAAATAGGTCCCAAAATACCCTTTTAGAGAACATAAGTAGAATGCTTGTTTTGAAAAAAAAAAACAAAAAAAAACTTAATTACCAGACTGGAGTTTCCCCTAAATGAATCGCTTGTAATTCACCTACCTTTTCAAACATTTTAAGAGACATTATACAAACTTAGGTGAAAACAAATGCTAGGAACTCCAGTAGCTGTATTAAGATTGTCCCATTTAAAAAAATTACGATAGGGAAGACTTCAGTTGAATTTTTTTCTTCAAAATATCAGACAATACAAATGATTTTACACACTGTTATAAGCTGTGGCAACAATAATGGACTACATTTCGTCTACATAACATTATATATACAAGGTAATGGTGATGTCACAATGTGGAGGAGAATTGGTCAGTGACAGTGTCCACCTATATTACAGGTAGCTGTAGGATTTATGGAATTTTAAGGTATGACATCAATTGCACATGCAGCACAGGAATTTAAGAATCTAACAAGGCGACATCGCCTACACGTGTAACGGAATGGCTCAGATCATTATAGCAGAACTTAACCAGGCATACAAAACCATCTACACACATACATGCTGCAGCTTTCGTGGAAACCTTTGACCTTTTCATATGAAGACTGCCTGCACATGTAGCAAAGGAAGAATAATGGTTTCAAATTGATGAGACTGACATTCATTTACCAGAATTAGTAAAAAATTAAATGCAAAATTTGCAAACATTTCAGACAAAAAACATCGGTCTGAAATGTTGTTTAATTGAAACTTGTACCTACCATACGTAGATAAATTCTAATTGCAATCCTTATTATACAGCTTAATTCAATATAACACCAGGTTACTCACACATTTAACCCTTTCAACCCTATGTAACTTTAATAAACTCTACCATGCATTGATCTGGTTGACTCCATTATTGTCTACAGTGGTGAAAGGGTTAACAGGGATGTTACAATCACACTTCTATCCCCTAATCTACTGGTACTTGTGAAGATCTAGCAACACAAACATGGTCACATCTGCCGTTCTACCAGTCCTACTAACAAAAATAACAATTTCTGAGATAAAAATGCACAGTATTTTATCTGATTTTCCTTGGACTTGTAATGAATGCTCTGCCTGTGACCATGTCACCTTGTGTGTGATCTTTTAACATGTATATTGTAGCAGGACTTCAGAGATATATTGACATTTCAATGTGACTTCTGATTGTTACTTTCCAGAGGTGACCTGTTTTGAACAAAACGCTTGTTCAAGGTGACCTGTTTAGAGAATATATACTTGTTTCAGGTGACCTGTTTAGAGAATATACCTGTTTCAGGTGACCTGTTTAGAAAATACACCTGCTGGAGGTGACCTGTTTAGAAAATACACCTGTTGGAGGTGACCTTCTTAGAGAATACACCTTGCTTGACATGTACATGTTGTCTGTTAAAAACATTTTGTCCATTCAACAAAGGAATTGCTCTTTTGTCTTTCTGTAGAGATTCTATCACACACTGATCCACATCACACTTCACCACTGAGGGCGCACAGATATTTTCTTCCTCTCCTGAGGAACGAACTGCTCTTTAGTAATGAGATCCAAGTCGGAGTCCTCCATGTATGCAAAACTGAATGAACACTGAAACTCTCTCTCAAAGGACTGAAGGAAGGCACTGATCGTGTCCTTTATTAGCACAGGTTGCTGAAGTTCCTTGGAGAGAGACGTCACTTCTTTGCCCTCAATACCGCAGGGAACAATGTGTTTGAACCAAGCAAGGTCTGTGTTACAATTAAGGGCAATGCCGTGGTGCGTCACAAATCTGCTACCGTGTACACCTGCCATCAAATAAAAAACATTACTTATCAGTCATTCAATAGTCTTTTTTAAATATCACTTTCGGGATACCCATACCTGTGCCAAACACTGTAAGCACTGGAAACCGTTTTTTCCAGCATTACTGTTTCATTCAATTATTTGTAATATTCTGAAGAGCTGATATTAAGATGCCACAGTTGTTTTTGTTGTAGTGAAAAGCCAACGAAGGAAAATCAGTGTGTCATCAGAACAATAATAACTAACCCTATCAGACATCACTCCACTATTTTGGCACCACTGAAGTTCTAACCAAAATTCTGGTGAGACTCGGACTGCACACAGTTGAAACGACAGTGCAGCAGTGAGCATGGCCACCATTGTACCCAGAAGTAGAGACAGGGTCTGTTTGCCTTTAAATAATATTTGTACTCACCTATTGCCCCAATTTTCCTGTCCTGGACCCAGACTCCTACATTGTCTGTGGTTGTGGCCTCCAGATCAAAATGTTTGCATGTTTTAATCATGGTTTTCTCTAGAGTTGAGACATACCAGCGCATGCTTGGTTCAAACTCATGAAGGTTTAGGACAGGGTAAACAACTAGCTGTCCGGGGCCGTGAAATGTTATCAGGCCCCCGCGGTCTGTCTTGTAGAACTCGGCCCCCTTGGTGCGGAGCTGACTGGCTATGGTGTCGGTATAGGTGTGGTCCCTGAGACCAATCGTATACACAGGATTGTGTTCTACCAGAAGAAGGACATTCTGGCCATGAACCCTCTGACCACTAGCTACTGTGTCCAACATCTGGCGCACAAAGTTCTTCTGGACACTGTAGGCAGACATGAACCCCATTCGTCCAAGGTTGATCACATTCACAAGTCTCGACCCAGCCATGGCGACACACCTGAAAAAGAAGTTTTTACAATAAAACATGTACTCTTCATCTTTTTCCATTCAAAACAAAACCATGGTGACGAACCTGAAAACATTATTTTATAGTTAAACATGCACTCTTCATCCTTTTCCATTCACAGTGTCTACTTCCGAAAAGTTTTGTTTTAATTTGCTTTTAGTCATACCATTAACACTTTCAAATCATTTAACTTTCTCTAATTACTCCCCCCCTACAGTTTCCCCTAGATGTAAGACCCTATGCAGCTGCAGCTTAAATCAATTTAACAATAGCTTTCTTTTTGTACTGGTAACTTCCTGCTACAGTGAGCTGGAAATTCTGAGCAAAATATTAATGGTGGATAATTTGAACCAACAATACTAGACAGTGTCGGACTCCAGGACTGTCTACGTTGGTCAGCAACAGCTGGCAATATTCTCTTAAAACTAGAACATGTATATATATATGCATTTATTAATAACACTGCAACATATGGTTTCAAAACGGACATTTAATTTAATGTTTATTAAAAAACAGGTAATTAACACTGTAAATCAATAAATCATGCACATAACATAAAAACACTTTTTTTTCTAACAGGTAAATTCCCTTAAGGTTTAATGTTTCATTTTGTTTCACGAATTAAAAATAATCAAATCTGAATTGTAACTGCCACTCATGATTTATGAAACAAAACTGTAAATGTAAATACATGCCATATTTTTTACCAATGATAAGCCCCATATTTCGTAATACACCAATCCCACTTCCTCAATGTTGTAGCTATATATACCTGTATACATGAGGCGAGCTAAAATGAAACCAGTTTCATAAATTTCATATGAAATGAAAACGAGTGTAAGATCCTTTTTATCACATAATCAAGATTTGTGGCATTTATTCGTGTAAAAGAACAACTTTCATGAAACCTTGAAATGTAAAAAGCTACCATTTTGACTCCAGTGCGTAAGTTTGTGACGTCATGTACTTGTCCTAGGTGTAACGTCACAACTGACCCCCTGGGACTGTATACCCGAAAATTGTCAAAATTTAGATTTTGTTCAAATTCAATGTTCCTGGTTCTAGCTCGGGGTGAGTTCCAATTTCAATCTTAATGAAACTCGGTGTGAATACTGTCATTGGCACCCCCTGTACATGCAACCTTTCAAAAGTCGTGCACTGGCACGGTTTCTAGACCCCCTGGGACCCTATACCCGAAAGTTGTCAAAATTAAAATTTTGTTCAAATTCAATGTTCCTGGTCCTAGCTCTGTAACAACCAATCACAGGGCTGATAGGTCATATTTCATTGGTTGATACGCAAAAAAAAAGACATGGGTATATTCACTGGATCACACAGTACATTATGTGATAAATGTATACTAGCGGGAAAAAGAAACTGTGCATGCGGAAAATTGTTATAGAACATGTATTACCAACTGTACATGCATGAAAATTCACACACGTGACCGAGTACGACACATACACACTATCCGTGTGTCATTGACAGTTTTTGCCGTGCAGTTTGCTCTCTATAGGCGTTGACCAGTTTGCATGTTTTTCTCATCCAGCCATCCAATTCGACAATAAAAGTTTATTTTTCAACTGTTGGGTCACTGTTGAGACCAGTGAACAGCAAAATTAGCATTATAACATTTTAATTTGTGATAAATGCTATGCCGAGGCTCAATGAAAATGACCGCCTCAGGATTATTGGTATGCTTCAAGCTGGTATGGGCCAAGCTGTTGTCTCTACATGTTTTCATGTCCATCAAAACACAATCCAGGATTTGTGGAGACGACATCAACAGTTTGGCCACGTCGGCGATCGACCTCATGCGGGACGTCCACGTGTGACGTCACGTCAACAGGACAACCATATTCAGCTTGTCCATTTGAGAAATCGCTTCCAACCGGCAAGTTTGACTGCACGGACAATTCCTGGGTTGCTACCAATAAGCCCGAGAACTGTACGGAACCGATTGTGTGAACGAGCTATCCGTCCGCGACGTCTTGCAATCCGTCCAGTTCTTCTGCCATGTCATCATGTAGCACATCTGGACTAGTGCAGAAGGCATCTGCAATTTACTCAACGGGATTGGGCAGGTATTTTGTTTACGGACGAATAAGTGTCCACCAGGATAGTAGTGACGGCCATTCCAGATTGTATCGTCGCGTTGGAGAACGTTTCCGTGACGTGTGTGTGGTTCCACGACGTTCTTTCGGCGGAGGCAGCGTTATAATTTGGGGCGGCATCACAGCCAACGGGAGAACGCCTCTGGTGGTTGTTAACGGGAATTTGAACGGGCTACGTTACCGTGATGAGATCCTCCGGACCCAAATCGTTCCATTCGTGCAAGGGCAGCAACGTCACATTATGCTACAGCAGGACAACGCCAGGCCACACACAGGTCGTGTCGCTATGGACTTTCTGGCCCAGCAGAACGTTGACGTGTTGCCCTGGCCTGCTGTATCCCCCGATCTGTCGCCCATTGAACACGTCTGGGATGAAATGAAGCGCAGATTACGGGCATTACCTAATCAACCGGTGATGTTGGCTGATTTGCCTGCAGCGCTGGTACAGATCTGGAATGCAATCCAACAAGCATTCTTGAACCGTCTGATAGGCTCCATGCATCGACGTTTCCAGGCTTGCATTCAGGCAAACGGTGAACATACGAGGTATTAACTCTGATATATCATCATAGGTAAAAGGAGCTCAATCTAAAAATTGTTGGAATGATATCTAACTGAACCATTAATCATTTGATCACACATGTACAGATTTAAGTTAAACCTACCATCGATTATAAAATTTATATAAAGTTTGTACCACCTGTTAAAGCCTGTGTATGGTAAAAGACATACAGTATATGTCTGACAGAATGTGTAGAAATTGACATACAGGTAGGGAAAGCACCTGATCGGTGAATACATTAAAAAATAAGCCTTTGAAAAACTTTGATATTTTATTTGTACAAAAGGTAGGTGTTGCCCCTCTGCCCCCAGAGGGGCCACACCCACCGTTTATACAAAATTGAGTCCCCTTGGCCTAAGGATACTCCAGACCAAATTGGGATAAAATCCTTTAATCCCTATGGTAGAAAAAGGTTTTCATAAGTTTTTTCCTCTATTTCCCCTATTTGGCCCTGCTTCTCAGCCCCAAAGGGGGCCACAACAACCATGTATAAAACAAGAGGCCCAGAGGGCCTGTATCGCACACCTGAATATGTTTAAAATAATTGGTATGAAGTAAAGATATAGCACTCCATGGTAGGTGCTGTAAGTACATATGAAATTTCAGAAAAATCCATCCAGTACTTGAGATAGAGCGAGAACAAACTTCAAACAGAGCCCCACCCCTATGCCCCTAGCGGGGTCATACCCACCAATTATACAAAATTGAGTCCCCTTGACCCAAGGATGCTCCAGACTAAATAAGGATAAAATCCCTGAATCCCTATGGTAGAAGAAGGATTTTAAAGGTTTTACCTATATTTCCCTTTTGGGCCTCGCCCCTCAGGCCCCTGAGGGGCCAGACCCACAGTTTATACAAAATTGGTTCCCCTTCACCCAAGGAAGCTTCTGACCAAATATGAAACAAATCCTTTCATTCCTACAGAAGAAGAAGGATTTTAAAGAATTTNGGGGGCCAGACCAACCATTTATACAAAAATTGTTTCCCCTTCCCCCAAGGATGCTTTTGACCAAATATGGAACAAATCCTTTCATTCCTACAGAAGAAGAAGGATTTTAAAGAATAATTTGCGATGTTTCCCCTATTGGGCCCCGCCTCTTAGACCCCTGGGGGGCCAGACCCACGGTTTATACAAAATTGGTTCCCCTTTCACCAAGGATGCTTAAGACCAAATATGGAACAAATCCTTTTATACCTACAGAAGAAGAAGGATTTTAAAGAATTTGTTATATTTTCCCTATTGGGCCCCATCCCTTAGCCCCCAGGGGAGCCAGACCAACCATTTATACAAAAATTGTTTCCCCTTCCCCAAGGATGCTTCTGACCAAATATGGAAAAATCCTTTCATTCCTAAAGAAGAAGAAGGATTTTAAAGAATTTGCTATGTTTCCCCTATTGTGCCCCGCCCCTCAGCCCCCAGGGTGGCCAGACCCACCACTTACACAAAATTTATTCCCCCTCCCCCAAGGATGCTTTTGACGAAATTTGGTCAAAATCTGCTCAGTCGTTCATGGCTAGTAGTGTTTTAAAGGAAAAGTTGACAGACGCACAGACGCTGCGGTATGGCATAAGCTCACCATGGTACTTCGGACCAGGTGAGCTAAAACTGAATGCCCTTGGCCTAAGGATGCTCCAGACCAAATTTAGTCGAAATCTACCTAGCCATTCAGGACTAGTAGCGTTTTAAAGGAAAAGTTGACGGACGGACTAACGACATGCCATGACATTTATAAGTTCACCTGGTCCAAATGGTCCTTCGGACCAATTGAGTTCAAAATTAAATATAAATGTATTTACCTACCTACTTACTGTATTTTTTTTCTGACATGTGACAGGAAACAAATATGCTTTTTGTTTCGCCTTAAAATCACTGATGTATTCACATGTCTGATACTTACTCAAAACACAGCATTAACATTTTTACTGGATTTTGACCGAAATCATGTTTCTTAATTCACAACAAATGATGGATTCCCAATCTCGCAAGTAGGACAACATGTGTGTCATGATACATGCAAATAGCATACCTGTTGCCTAATGGTGCATAAACCTTATACAACTTGTAATTCGTTAACAAAAATATGTGGGGCAGTCAAGGTTTATTCATAGCATACAATACTAGAACATTGGCAGGTCAGTAAGGGCCCCGTTCTGTGGCAATATACTCCCAATAATCATCAAGAAGCAATCTGCCCATACAGCTGAGCTTGACGTTTGACATTTGGACTTCATAAAGAATCGCAAGGACGCAAAATATACATGTTACATGTACTATGATGTGAGTCTTGTTTCCTTCCACCTCTATTTTGCTGGG